GTAAATAATATAAAAAAAAGAACAAACATTTTCTCAGAAATAGCAACGCGCTTATGTCACAAATCCCAGCCCCGCCAAGGATGACTCGAATAAATTGAAAAGCACCAGATAGTATTGTTAGTAAAAAAAATAACATTAAAAACATAAAAACTGCTTGCTTATAAAATACTGGTTATTTAAAACTCTGTTAAACCAAAATTACAAATGGAAAATAAAACATGAATGACACCAAGTTATCTTCGATATTATGCGTGTTTTGATAAGTTAACAGTTACTGTAGTAATATCATAAGACATTCTATTACGAATTATTCAGTACGCGATATTCCGTATTAGTGAGAGGATTACCAGCCTGAGGTGATGGACTGAAAATAGTTCACAAAGTATTATTACGTACATACTTGAGCTAATAATTTGTGTAATGTATTATATAGTGTAGCATATCGGAGTTTCCATATATTTTTCCATCAGTACTCTTATAGACTATAAATGACAAGTTTAGTTTAGTAACAACTGACTAACAGATGTTGTTGAGCTTCTTTGTGGTAAAGTGATTTTTATTAAAAACTGTAATATAGGAATTGGTAAATATTATAAAGTTATTTGATTCAGTAGGAGTTTGAAAAGATAAGAGCTCAATAAACTAACTCGTATAAGCATATTAACCAATTCTATCAGAGTGCAATGTTTTTCTTGTTTTATTGAATCACACCTCAAACCCTACTTTGTAGGGTTTGTTAACAACTCCATCCAATATTAAAATGACTATTCCATCGCCATTTAATGATGATTAATATCTTTGAAATGATCTGCTTACAAGTAAAATCTACAGGCTTTTTATTGTAGAGTTTTTAATTTGGTTTTAACGTCAATTAGACTATAGCAATACTAGAAAACGAAATTGGCTTCCCCCCCCAAAAAAAAAAAACGAAAATTGTTAGTTTTGTCTCAAAGTGGGAAATTTGTTTTCCAAATGTTTGTTCTGAGCTATCTTCGAGTTTTTTCATTCTAGGTTCTCAAGTTTGCTTTTTTTTTTGGATTTCAAGTCATATAATGTAAACAAAATTGGCTGAAAGGTTGAAGCAATTAAATAAATAATGTTTTTTCAACATAACATTTTAAAACTTGGTGAACAATTATAATAACGTTGAAAAATGTAATATTCAAAAAATAAACTAAACCCAGAACCAAATTAAAAAATGCATCTCGGATTAAAACTCGTACCTGATTTTATGCTAAATTTAACGGATGCCAAAACTTTCAGATGTGGTTTAAATAAACGAAATTACAGCACTACATAAGCAATTTCGCAAAGAAGTGTAAAATTGTATTTTTTTTTAAATGAGCTTATTTCTTATACTTCTAAATTATCATTTTTGAATAAATTTCGATAAATCCGTAATTAGAATAGGACGTAAACCTTGTCATTCTGCGAATGTTGCGGTTTTCTAAAACCGTTAGGTATTTATAATTGAAAAATTCGTAAATTTATCGTTTTTACCTGGTACGAATATGTCTGCAATAGATAAGTGTCGTCGTTATTTTCGGTTGTATAGAACGAATCATGTACCAAAATACAACATAAATAGATAGAACGAAAAAAATAGGAACGCAATAGGTATTATTGTCTAAAACAAATATATGTGGCACTACTCGCAATACACAAAATATAAAATTCCGTTCAATCCGGGGCAATTCTGATCAGCGCGAATAATGTAAAATATAAATTATTACAATGTTGCAAAAGCGTTATGTAGAAAACTTTGGTAATAAATTATGTGTTTCAAAAATTTAACAAACAACCAATTACGAGGCTAAAGATCTTGGAAGCAGATAACCTAAATTCAGGTATAGCGTTCAGTTATTGAAATGGTAGAACCTTCATTAAATTGTGGGAACGTCTCATTATAGAAAGTCCTACGGATTCTTTGATTTAAATCCAGCTTGATTAGAACTAACATTCATGAAATGATTATTTCAATCGATTTATTGAACAGAATATTTAACTTTGGCGTCCAAGAACCAAGTAATTCTTGATTCAAAGAAATATTTATTAAATATTATCCCATACTACTTTTTTTTTGTGTAAACAAAGATATTCATTTCTTCAAACGATTATTTTCTTGATATGAAATATCAAACCAATACGCTTTTTCATCATTTTTAAAAATAATTTATTTCGCAACGAATTGATGAAACTCTAACGCAATATTCTAATCATACCATTTCATTAATATTTTGTTAGTTCTTCGGTTATACAAACCAAAAATATTCAACGTGAAAGTGATTTCGTAAAGAATTATATATTTATCAAAATGGGTTTCTTCCAAACTGTTCAGTTGTATATTTTCGTGCTGAATAAAACTTCGGTAAATAATGTTGAGTATTGACTAATTTTTCAGCAGGAAAGTTGATGTAGAATAGAATGCGCTTTTTATTAAAGTTCGTCGACTCGAAAGAATACGAATGAGGTTCAGGTTAGGTAGGATTTAACCTTACACAACGTTACACTGTTATACGGTGTTTTGTACATATCAATATTTAAAAAAAGAATATATATATAGATCGAAAAATCGTTGTTACTTCTGTAACAACTGAGTGTCTAATATTTAGTTGTTTTACAAATAAATTTCATTCACTGTATTTAATTTGAGAATAAAAAAAAAACAATAATTTGGTACTTCGTGTAATACCTATCACTTTTAAAGTAAAGTTGGAATGTATTAACACAAAATTTATGTCTGATCGATTTTTAAAACACTTCGTGTTTCACTTTTTTATTTTGAACATATTTAGAAGATTTCATTTTCGATGAACCCTCCAAGATATCAAAAACAACAAGAATTGAGTATAATAAATTACATCTGGTTATCAGAGGAGCATTGTGCATCCTCTCAATGGATCGAGCGTGTAGCTGCTACATGAAACGTGGCGTTGCAATGTATCTAAATGTAATAGACGATTCGAATAGCGTATTTACAGTCACAGCTACTCACTGACCTACTGAACTGGGGCTTTATTAGAGTAGAGTTGTAGGTGAAATCACTACAAGAATTTATCAGTGTCATTAATTTCCGATTTTAAATTCGGCTTCCAGATAATATGTGCTCAGTTATTCTTATTATTAAAGTTTTACTTGTCAATATACTGGGCGCAAAGAAAGTAGTTGAACATCACATTATCGTTTAGTCAAAGCACTGAGAAAAAACGTTTAGTACACATACAGCCAAGTAGTTTACGTAATATCAACACAAATATTATACAGTGATTACCTTATGACTGTACTCACGAAAGATCAAATCATCAGAATGTCCGATTCCGAAAACGGATAGAATGATGATCCCGAAATTACTTTTGGTTTAAAATTAATGTTCGACAGTTCAGTATGTATAAGACGTAAGGTCAACGTTGTATATGAGACATTTAATTAGACCCAAACCGTATTTTTCTCGCGCAATGATTTTATATTTATTCGCATATACCATTTCTCAGATTTTACAAGAATATGGTTATTTCTACTATAAATTTGTGTACGTACCCGTAATTGCCATATTTTGTCAAAATTACTTGTTGGTGTTTTTCTAGTATTTTTCTCCAGTTCAAAAGTAAAATCTCGAATCTTTTTATTTTGTGAAACATTTTCCACATTAGCAGCTGCTTTACCCATGGCATATGTCTAATCAAGTAATTTTGTAAGAAAACAGTTCGTGTGCGATCCAAAGCTCTCGACATCGTGCAACTCTTTTCAGGATATACGAATTTTATTTTCTTTTTTTGTCTTAACATGTCTTAATCCAGTTAATCAAGTTTACTACAATATGATATGACATACACATATTTGCATCTGAATGCATTGGTATCTGTATTATTTGAGATAGAGGGATAAATTATGAGATGACTTTTGTAATATTTTTTTAATCTAAATCTTCCGAGAATCGCCATTTGTATTAGTTGAATAATACATTTCTTAATCCTTTTTTGAAAAAAGGCATTTGCATACTGTAATCAACTTTCCAGGAAGTAGCTTTTATCTATATCATGTTTTTTTGTATTTGATATTTCCAATAGTCTCTGTATAACCAAATCGTAGTCATAGGGATACCCAGCATATTATTTGAAAGGTGAGTAAACCTAAAAACTAATTGAAGTTTTTTTTTTTTTTTAAACTGAACTGATTGGCAATGCTATTTAATGTGATGTGATATAAGGCAATCAAATATTCTAATAATTCATGCTGGATACGTCACGTTGTAGACGCGGGAGATTATTAGTGATCTGAAAATAATTCTTCACGTGTCACATTTGAATTCATTTGAAGGCTCGTGAATGAGAAATAAATTTTAATTATAGTTATGTTAAGTCAATATATGTAATAAGACACATTTATTTTACCTTATGAGCACGGAATTTTTCATAATCGATCTGTTAATTGTTGACAATATATACGCTAGATTTTTTAAATTTTCTCGCTGGGTTATTCAGTTTCATTGATGATTTTTTTTATACTGTATGTAACCTTCTCAGTTTTAAACAATGGCCACTAAAATATAACAAAAAATTTTTTTCTCTCGAATTAGATTCTCTTAAAACGACGTTAAATGCTGATTCCAAATTTATACACAATTCAATTTAAATCTAATGTGACTAGACTATTTCCTATTAACTAGAAAAATTTTAAAAATGTCTTTTTGTCTGGTATTTGGCTTAGACTCTCTTTCTACCAGACAAGGAAAAAGACTTTTCTTTGAGCTTATTTGAGCTTTCTTTTTATTAAAACTATATAATAAATAAATACCTTATTTTAGATCAATCACTGTTCAAATATAATATTCGTGAACATTGTACTAAAAATACTGATATTTTTAACGATGTTTTCCAAATTGTAGGTCAAATTACCGATAAGCAATTTTTGCAGAAGCGGTCAAGAGACTTGTAACCGAAATCTGACTTTATGTTGATTAAAATACATTTCTATCTAATAATTTTTTCTTTAATGACCAGAATATCCCGTGACTATATTCAAGTCATGTAAGATGCATGAACGTTCACGAAATACTGTAAAATACGACGAAGAAACAGGTCAGTCAATTCGATTTTTTTGAACGTTATTGTATCGTGCGAAGTGAATTCTAACTAAAATTCAGATTTGGTATATTTCTTATGTTGAATTGCGGTGTCAAGGTACAGTTTTAGTCGGTCGTTCAGAACAAACAGATAATCATCAGAATACGTGACATTTACAGTAACGTTATTATAATTAACGTTAATATAAGTGCCAACATTTTGCTTTATATTCATTCCTCTGAACTAACTAGATTGTCTACAAAATGAGTCACCACTACAGAATCTATTCCCAGGGTTCTATGTAACAAAATTTAATCGAGGAATATGGAAATTTCATTTAAGCAAATGTTTGATTTAGTAAAGATGAAATTGTTTGTTTATATATGGTCGTCATCTTGAGCCCTTATTAATCCCGTGTTACTGAGAACTATGATCTCGATATTACACGCTACATATGTCATCAGTAATTTTGAACGTGAACGGTTTTATTTTACGCGCACGAAATATACTACCACTACGTGGAAGTATTGCGTTATGTCCTTCAAGGCTTCCTGTAACGTATCAAGTTCAATTCACGATATTAACTTCCGTTGAAATAACGTGAAAGAAATCTTTGTGCAATGAAATGTGATAGAAGCTTTGCTATTCAAGATTATTTAGTTACATTAAAAGTTGATTGAGGTATCTATCTGAACGTTAAATTATTCTTGAAGATATCAAATAGTAAATATAAGCAGATGATAAAAAACTGATCAGCATCAGTATATCGCAAAAATAAAATTTGTTAAAAATCAGCTTTCAAGACTTTTATTTTAGATGAGATTCAAAAACATGATTCAATTAACTATATGATGTGATGATTTTAAAACATTTGATGAACTCAATGCTCGAGTGACAAGTATTTGCCAATCCAATGTCTGAACGTTTAGTCTAGAACGTGGCACGACCTACCGGTTATATATAACTCATTACTCTACTGCGTCACATTAATTGACAGTTTATAGTAATAAAACGATGTCGTACTTAACTTTTACATACACATGTCGATAAAGTCATATCGTTCAAGTTATGAAAATACAGGTTTTTCAATAGAGTGGAAGGGAAAGAAAGAGCAATAGATGAAATAATAGCAAAATGCACTGATACTTTATGAAGGCTTTGTTCTATTTTTTATCATATATATATATTTTTTTATATGAATATTGCAGTTGTATTATATAATTAATATTTAATATATCAGTAGCAAAAGGCAAAATATTCATTACAAGAAATGAATATCATCTTGATGTCAATTCTCCTGCTTTGTTTAGGTAGGTTTTCTGAAAGAAACTTTTTTGTTTGAAGAATTGATTTGCTACTATTATGTCCTTTCCAGCTGGGATCCTTCTTTTTTGCTTAACTTGGTGTTTTCTGCTATAGCTGTAACATTAACAATGCAATCCCTCACAATCCCTCTAATTAATCTAACTGTATTCTGTCGATATCGTTATCACAAAATTTCATTGAACCTACGAAATTAATAAAATTTAATTATTTTAAAACAGGTGGAGTCATGAGTACAAAAAACGTAACTCAATCAGATGAATCGCAACCAATCAAGAAAGTTGACCTCGCTATAAATCAAAGTAAGAATACTTATAAAGACATGAGGTTTTAATTGGGAACGAGTTTTTCGCCGGCAAATTCCTAAGTAACTCTAAAATGCGTTGGCTCAAATAGTTCTTTTTGACGAAAAAAAATGTACCTCAAACAACTCAAAACTAATACCTTTTTTCGGAAATTAACATTCAAGTACACGTGAAAATCTTTCATAACATTATTTCTATACTGGGTGAGTATTTGTTTCTTATCTGCAAATCAATATTTTTGGTTTCGGTATTGATAGACAAGTTAAAGAATCCTAATATTTTAATTTAAACGTTCTCTCTAGCCTCAACTGGCACACTCTTTTAAAATATATTTGTTGCAAACACAGAGCATACAACCAGATCGAAATCCAAGAAATCCATTTTCTCAAAAAAGAAATGCAAGAAAATTTGGAAAACATGCGAATGTTTCTGTGCAAGATTCCAGAAGACACTAAATAAAATGAGTTGCGAAGAAGTTTTTAAATTGAAATGGAAAAGTAAGTTTGTTATTAAATAATTTTAAAAAAATTAGCAGTTATGCATCAGGCTAAATTTAGTTTCAATTATTCTGATTCCTTTCTTCTTTCATATTCTACATACAATTGTACTATTTACAGTTGGAAGATGCTGGAAATGCCGGGTTTCCTGCGATGAATACAACCGGGTGTCTGGTGGTCTTGGAGGATGAAATTAATGAAAATATGCCAATAAATTATCTGCATCATTATTTATTTTAAATTGTAATTTTACCAATTTTAACGTTCCAACAATTTTCATAATAGAACTTTGAATTGAGAAATATAATATTAGCTATTGAATAGGTATGTAAGTCAGTTTTGCTAATATGGTTTTGGTAATATATATGATAATAAGGTTGCACTAATGGACATGAAGTGGACCTATAAATCGTTTTGGTATTGTGTTATTGCACAAAAATTTCGTATTTCTCATCAATTACTAGACCAATTGCTTTGTTTAAAGTTGGTGTTATCGCAAGAAGGCCATTCATTACCCATTGCATATATATATTTATTTCAAAACTTCATGTGGGCCCTATGGGATTCATTTTTTGTGTGTATGATGACAATAAAAATGTGAAAATTTCACACTGTGTGGCCTTTCCGCGCTCGTGATCTTTGCGATTAGCAATTCCGCGACTGTTATACACTAAAGTTTTTATAAGGGTACGGTAGACAGCGGGGGGTCTTGTGTAGTGTATTTCTAGTAATGGTGGCGTAACAATTTTTGGATATGTCATTCTCTAGTGCAGGGGTGGGCAACCTTTTCCGGCTCGCGTGCCCAAATCGGCTAAATTTAACGACAAAATTCTTCCGCGTGCCGACCAAAATTAAAAACAATGCTTTGTTACTTTTAAAGCAAAAATATACAATAATAAACCTTCTAAACATGTAAGCTACAGACAGATTCACTATTTGGGAAAATATCAGTCCGACAAAGAGATACTTTTCTTATTCTATATATAATAGAGACTCTGCTACTGCATTTCCGTTGATAGAGATTTACATTGGGAAAAAGTTACGAACTACTGGTTTCATCTTTCAGGCTACTCCTGTTATGAGACTTGATAAAGCGATAGTTTGTTTTCTGCACTTCTCTCTTGTATTCCCTTCTATATTTGCTTATATTTCTTTCGAAATCAATTTATTTCAGTAAGTTAGCAAGTAACTCTAACCAACATGAGCTGTACAACTTTATAAATCAATCAGAACTGAAGAAAAATGGTGGCACAGACTATATATTACGTAACAATGAAACCCCAATGAATGCTGTGTCTCGTCACAATTCATAAAGAACTAACTCATTTGTTACGCCATAATATATTTCTTTGTAGCCATATGTCATGAAAAGACAAAAAGAGTTTAAAATTTTAAATGAATAACAATTGTTAACAAACGATAATGAATAAACAAACACCGAGCTTCATCAGATGAATCAGAGCCTCGAAACTTTTTATCTGAAAGAGAATGATCTCGTTTCTGAGGCCTCGCTCGCGTGCCAAATAAATGGACTCGCGTGCCAAGTTTGGCACGCGTGCCTGGGGTTTCCCACCCCTGCTCTAGTGTGTCTTTATCGCATGCCATTATGGGTGATCTTCGCTATACTTTGGAAAGCTCTATTACCTGATCGTGACGTATCAGTAACGTACTCTTTGAATGACAAAGTCAGGTGGGGTCAAGAGGCACATATGCAAAAATTATTACGCCATGCCGACCAGAAGTACTCGTACATGGTACTAAACTACACCGGAACAACAGGTACGGTGGCCATTCCATAGTTCCAGCTTCGTCCATTATATGGTTGTGGGGAAATTGTGGCTGAAATATTTCGTTTTGACTTCCTCGTCCATATATTTGAGCATTGCGGAAGTAAACGTAAAAAGATTACACGTTCCTAACGTTTTGTTTATGAGATATTTCTGTTTATTTTCAAGTCGCAGGGCTATTTTTGGCATCTCGAATACTTACAGACACTGTGGCAATCATCTTGGACAGAATAATCATGATTGTTGAGCTGGAGTATCAAATGCAGGAAAAATAAACAACAGGATATATCAAATAAACGACGGCATTGTTTGTAAGCGGATACTGATTAAACTTTTCCTTAAGCATATAAATAATGTTTTGATTATCCGATTCAAATACTAGAAAGGGAGCGTTGCATAACAACGCAGCGCAATTTATTTTTACGTAAAATATCTATAATTTTACGTACACCATGCGGACATTAGATGTTTCAATGCTATTACTCGATCTCTCACTTGAATAATCGTTGCTTCAAGCAAAGTAAAAACGCTAAGGATAAATAATCGGGTATAGGACCAATATGAAAAGTATTTACTCATATATCATTCGAGCTGCATAAAAAGATATTTAACTAAATAAACATGCTTTCTGCTTTTTCTTTATCACAATCAAATTAATATTGTTTATATTTCCAAATCATTAAAATTATTTATATGTATGACCAACAAATTAGTACATTTTGATTAATATAAAATTCCATGCTATTTTGCATGTGTGTTGGTAATGTTTTGTAGTATTAGATTTCAAATCCGTTTTTGAAAACATAAGAAATAGGAAATACTTGACGGCAAAGGAAATACTCATTACACCCAATAAACTTATATATAATCTATATGTTTTGAGAAGATTTCATTTAGTGATATTACACAGTATTAATATTGGGATCGAATTAGATGGTAAAATCATCTAAATTGATAGAAAATACTCTAGCTGAACGGACATCATTAGCAATATTTTTCCAATGATATCTTCAGAACTAAAATGCAATGTAATGGGTTTTGTGGAATTTTTGATTAGAAGATGTATTGTTAAGAAACCTTAATTTTTTAAAGTAGTAAGCATATGGAGTACTATTAAATGATTTTTTTTTTTAATTTTGTAATGTTTAAATGAAATCGGATGATGAAAGTTTCACGCAAGATTACAAAAAAACTTTCTATACTCTAACGTTGAGTAGGTAGAACAACAATAAGATGAAGACTGCATTTACAATATTTTATCTGCTCGCTTTCGGTAAGACTTTTATTTGTTTTTTAATTGTTTGATAGGTAGCATAATTAATTGAAGTTCTTTATTTTATCTCACTTCATTTGAATGAACTTCATTATGTAGATGTCAATTCTTTTTATATAAGATGGGTAATTAGTTCTGTTGTATTATGCAGTAAATATTCGGCATTACTAAACGCAATGAGTATCAGGCAAGCACATTGAAGCGCATTTTTCAAATGCTGAGTCCACTGCACATATATATTGAGAAAACTGCGTGAGCCTCATCCTCCTGAATACTTTGTGAAAAAAAACTACGTTAAATATTTCGAACAGATATTTCAAGTTGTTTGATGGAAAGAAATACTGAATATTGTGCAAAGCACAAACAGCAAAACTTATAATCATGAAAAACTAGAAAATTTGCAACTTGGGCAATAGATGTTTCCCCGATCAGCGACTACCTTGTTTACTTCCGTGACATTGGCTAATTAGCAAGATGCAAAATGTGACGTCACAATATACGCAATTAGCAGGCGCTCAGGTACTCCCGAATGTTGTGAGCCAAGATGGCGGACACCGGAGTAGTATGTGTACCAGGTTAGGGTTAGGCCATAATTTCAGGTGCAAATACTACGAAAATCACTTGGCTATTTCCCGAACACGTAATATAAATAAAATAGGGAAATTGAAATAAAATTATGGCCTAACCCTAATCTGGTTAAAATACTACGTTCCGGTGTCTGCCATCTTGGTTTACATAATTCGGGAATGCTGCCGTTCAGACACAAATTCTCAAGCATGGTTGTAAAATTGCAGTTATTGGACACGTAGTGGACATAACGATCGTTTCAATATTATGTTGTTGTTGTTCTTGTTCTTGTTCTTTGACACGTTTTTAAAAAGTCGCTTTTCTCTTCGAATACTGGACCAATTGCTTTGAAATTTTCAGTGGTGAAAGATAAAAATTTTCTCCAGAAGGCTATTACTTTTTTTTTCGCTATGACGTCATCAAAATTATGTGACTCTACGTGTCCATATATTTGAGCATAGCTCTCTTGTCTAAAATTAGTCTGAAGATAGCGGTGATAGACTAGAGTACTAGACTAAACTTTTCTATCGGTACTTTTAAAGGACATGTTGTTGAATGTCTTGAATCAAAATGCTGGTGTGAAACATAGAAACCCGTTTACAGACGCTAACTCGCGAAACCACTGTCAGAATAAAAAATTGAAATTTTGCGATGGTGAGGTATAGAAAATATTTCTCGGGGGTCAAAGGTCAAATATGTAGGGAAAAATACGAGCCAAACCCAGGGATTAAGCCCATTTGGCGCCCCCTCATGTGTATTTTCATTATAAAAACAATAAACCACATAAGTGCATTATCCATTAAAAATAATCACAACCAACATTAAATAAAACAACTTTTACGAACATTTTTGGGTTTTTTAACTGTTATATATAGCCGATATATATATATTGGCAAACACGAAATATCAGGCCGACATATCGGTTGAGCTCTAATCCCGAGGGAGTGTGACAATGAAGATTGATGCCTCCAGTCTCAACGTGAATCGAAATACCAAAGGATACAAGTCACAACTGTAGTTTGAAATTTTACCGCTATCTGTAGTCTACCTCAGGGTGGTTCAAGGTTGCCAGGTTGAAGGACCGCAAAAACTGTTTGAATTTTAGGTTTCATTTCAACTTACGGTATGAAATTGCCGGATTTTTTCCACGAAATTAGTAAAAGATCAACATGTTCCAGTCCTTGGGAAAGTTGCGTATGTTTTTGCAAAGCCGAGAAACTCGTTAATATTGCCAACAGAAATGGTTGCAACTATTTTAAAGAAGACAGAGGTAAATACTTGTGTTACCTTTGCACATTTATCAGCATTTTTATGATAGCAGTAGCATTGGGTGCTATTGATGTTAGGTCGAATTACTTTAAACAAGGACATATGATTAATTTGCAGTTGTGTAGTAAATTTTATTCAGATAATAAATTTTATTGGCCACGACAAAATGTAGCCTGCCTAATTTGAATTGAGTCCATATTCTAAAATATAGTTGTCATTTGTTTATTCCGTATCATACTGTTGAGATGATGAAGCGACGAATAAAAAAAATTGTTGCATCGTGCATTCTATTGAAAAGATATTATTTATTTGTAGAAATAATATAGTAAATTCTTGCTTAAAATAATGCCTATATATTGTACTTGCAGGATACAAATGTTGGGAATGCATTGATCATTGCTACACCTGGACTTCTAAAACTGCAAGCGGACTTGCTGGCTAAAAGCTTTACTTCACATTTCAGTTCACTGTTAGTCATGATTATAATAGTTACCATAGCTATTCAGTGATATTTAGATAATAATTTATTTCAAAATGTTGAGCATCATCACAGGAATATAAGCTCACTTTGATGTATGCTTTTTTTCTCCTCAGTTTTGTAATTTATATATTTTATATATGAAATTTTTCTGCTTTTGTTCGCTAATAAGCAACGGCAATATATGATAGAAA